GTACATGTCTGTATACAGGTACTTGAAAAACTCATACCAAAATAGCTCACTGTTTTTTTGAAATTTTGGTATAATACTTTATTCTAGATGAACTGGTGAAAAGTAATGGTTCAGTGAGTAAATATTGACTTAAGGCACATAGCAGAGCAATTCTCCAACTCATTTGTAACAAGATGGAGAGCCATCTGTTTTCTGAAGATAGGAGATTCAGTCAATTTATCTATTTTTAAATACTGCTATATATACATGCCCAAACTACTACATACATATACATAAGTTTTTTTTCTTTTAAAGTCCAACTTAGGTGATTGTATCAGTGAAAATTCTGCTGCGTATGATGTCTGAAATTTTGTTGCCTACAGTTTCTTCTAGGATTTTTATGGATTCATGACTCACATTTAAGTTACATCACCTAAGGCAGCAGAAACAAAGGAGAAAATGAACACATGGGACTACATCAAAATCAAAAGCTTCTGCACAGCAAAATATACAATTATCAAAATGGAAAAGCAACCCACTGTATGGGAGAGCATCATTGCCAATGATACATCAGATAAGGGGTTAATTTCCAATATACATAGAGTGCTCATACAACTCAAAAAAAGGAAGACAAAGAACCCAATTAAAAAATGGGCAGAGGAACTAAATAGACACCCCTCCAAACAGGACATACAATGGCTAAGAGACATATGAAGAAATGCTCAACATCACTAATCATCAGAGAGATGCAAATTAAAACAACAATGAGGTATCACCTCACACCTGTCAGAATGGCCGCCATCAACAAATCATCAAACAACAAGTGTTGGCAAGGTTGTGGAGAAAAGGGGACTCCAGTACACTGCTGGTGGGAATGCAGACTGGTGCAGCCACTATGGAAAACAATATGGTGTTACGTCAAAAAATTAAAAATTGAACTTCCATTTGACTCAGTGATTCCATTTCTAGGAATATACTCTAAGAAGCCTGAAACACCAATCAAAAAGAATATATCTACCCCCATGTTTGTAGTAGCACTATTTACAATTGCTAAGATCTGGAAACAGCCCAAATGTCCATCAGTAGACGAATGGATAACAAAGCAGTGGTACATATACACAATGGAGTACTATGCAGCTGTAAGAAAGAAAGATCTCTTATCCTTTGAGATGACATAGAGGGACCTGGAAAGTGTCATCCTAAGTGAAACAAGCCAAATGGAGAAAGACAAGTATCATATGATCTCACTTATTTGTGGAATATAATGAACATAACAGTGTGAGGTATGGGGTAGTCCCAGAGACGTGAAAGTGGGATATAGACTGACAATCCCCAGAAGAGGGGGTGGTGGGAAAGAGATAAACCACAGAACTTATATGCATGTATGCATGAACAATGGACATGGACAACAAAGCTGGGGACAGGGCGGGGAGGGACGGGGAGGGACGGGGAGGGGGGAATCAGTGGGGGAAAAAGAAGAAACATCTGTAACAAAAATAAATTAATTAATTACATTTTTTAATTTGTTAATAAGTCCAACTTACAAAAGCTTTTATCCTAGCATATAAGCCTTATCCACAACTCATCACAGGTTTGCAGGAGTGTGTTTCACTTAAGACTGACTTAATATAGAGATCTTAAACTTCCCTTCATAGAAGCAATAAAAACACTCTTGAGCTCCTTTGGTCACCACAGGTTTAAAAGGCAGGATGGGTGAGCCTCTGTCAGCAAGGCCATGTTGCAGAACAAGAAAGAGGATGACTCTGATGATGGTAACCAAATTTCATTTAAAATTTTAAGAACTGTGGTTTCTAATAGTTGATAAATTGTTGTCTGCTGAAGAAGAATGCAAGCTTGGAATGGAAGCTGAAGTCCTTAGAGGATCTCATTATATATAATGACATACAACGCAAATGTGAGGGAAATAGGGAAGGTTGGAATTTCCATAGTATTTATAGAAAAAATGTTGATGACCATATGTCAAGAATAATAAAATTGTCCTCAGGTGAGAATGGTTGGCACCATGTTAAGTGAGAGAAACAATGGGAAAAAATGAGTTTAACCATTAAAAAATTTGAGTTTATACTATTAAAAATTGTACATAAGTATTTTTAAAATTTGGTGCAAGAAGATACAAAATATATTAATGAGTTACATAACTTTCAAAAAATGACTAAAGAAAAAATATCTACTGGAGAAACTTTCTCAAGAGTCAAATAATTACCTCAAATGGGAATAAAGCTGGATTTTTTAAATAGGGAGAAATATAATAGGTTAGAGACTAGACCAACAGAGGGAACTTAATATATTTGGTCAATAAAGACATCGAAGACACTTATGGACTTTGTTAGGCAGATATATATAAATTGGGAGAATTACTAAGTTTTTACTGAGATATTAATTCTAAGATGTAAAGGTATTCATTAATGATTATAGGTAATTTGAAACTCTATCCCTTTAATTTTAAGACATTATCTTAGATGAATTAGTTTATTTGTATTATAAAGATAAAAGTAAACTATATTTGAATAAGAATAAGAATGTTTAAAATACTCTGAAACTGCCTGGTCCGTGTGGCTCACTGATTGAGCATTGACCCCATACCCCAAGAGGTCGCCAGTTCGATTTCCGGTCAGGGTGCATGTCCAGGTTGTGAGTCTGATCCCCAGTGAGGGGTGTGCAGGAGGCAGCCAGTCAATGTTCTCTCTCATCAATGTTTCTGTCTCTCTGCCCCTCTCCCTTCCTCTCGCTCTAAAAATTAATAAAGAGAAAAAATTTTAAACAAAATTATACTTTTATTAAAAATAAGCAATATTATGGCAAATAATACAATGACATAGAGTTTAGCTTGCAGAGTTGTGATGGCGGAAATGATGATTAAATCACATTGGTTTATTCTTAAGATAGGAATGTAATAGCACATTCTAATTTTCTCTATTTCTACATAGAGGTAAACCAATTTGTTTGATAACATTAATTTTTTTTTTTTACAAATATTGAATCTGAAAAAGAGAGTAGTTGATTTTTTAAATGATTTCAAAGGAAATTCATTACGATGGAATATGTAAGACTAAAAAATTTCTACACTAGAGAAGGGAAGAAATAAAACAGTGAGGATCACTGTGAGAGTATATTTGCAATATTCTGAAAGCTTTCTGTATAATATAATTCTATCAAGAAAGTCTGTGTAAAACGATTAAAGGTAAGAAATTTAGCTGGTGTAGTCATCCCATAGATTGTGTGTTATCACTTAGTGGTTATAAACCTTTAGTGGTAGGCTCACGAATATGTCATAAAAAGCAGAGGTTTTCAGAAATCTGACAATCTTTCAGATTTTAATAAAGAAATCTGGCCATGTTTTCTCTTGTTTCCAAGTCCCTTCCTCTACCCCACAAGGATAAGCAAGGCTGTAAACCTTTCTGACTATTGCTGTTGAAAATATTTTGCGGAAACAATCTTGCCAATGAAAAAACATAAACATATTTTCAGGTTTTCAGGATTGTACAGTGTATATAGTAGCAATTAAAATGCAAAAGTTGCCAGGGTTAGAAATGCAATTTGGGAAGTCTAAATAGGAAAAAAAAAAAAAAAAAAAAGCCAGCAGAGATTCCTTTATCTTCAATATGATTTGGAGTGTATATGTACAAATGCAGATATACATTGACCAGATATTCAACTAGAATCCAGAATATGTCAAGGTCTAAAACAGAACTGTAATCACTTGAGGGTCAGAATTGCACCAAAACTACATTGTGCTTATATAAGCAAATTATGTTTGTTTTCTCTGTGTTTACACACACACACACACACACACACACATTCATGTTAAGTTATATACTACAGTTAAAATAATTCTATATAATGCCCAAATATATGAGGTCAGTTTTCTCCACTGAAGCTTTTCTTGTTTGAATAGAACCAGAGATGCCACTAAATGACTAAATACTGCATGTATGATGAAAAGATCATTTTTTCTTTTAAATTGTGCCTGAATAAAGTCTCCTCCTGTTGAGATAGATCTCAACACACATACACACACAAAACTCTACACACACACCCATAGAATAATTTGCACATTAGATTACTTTTTCTTAGAAACTCACCATCAAATTATTCTGTGATATAAAATGAGAATAATTCTGTACACAATGGTTGTGGAAGCTAATAAAATTTGAAGTATTTTATATCCTATTTCAGCTCAAATCAATTTTGAAAATTAATGCAAATTATATTTGTTAAATTTAGAAGTGGAGTATAATTCTAGGTAATTTAAGAACTGCCAGACATAGTTTCAATTTTTAAAAGTTTCCTGCTAGACAATTTTATAGATATTCAGTGGTTCATTTGACTATGCATGCATTTTATCGTAGCTAAAGTGCACAATAAAAGCTATAGGGCAAAGAAGAGATACATGATCTATAGAGAAGATTATAAAATTCAAAACAGAATAAATTGGGTCTGTAATGATAATTTTTTGACTTTAATAATTATGTAAAATGTTCTCAATTACATAGTAATGAAATCTCTGTTCAGCAAGTATAGTTAAATTAAGGCATACACTATAATTTGCAAAATATTTATGATGTTTGAGCCAATATTATATTCATTTGGGAAAGTAATCAAATGGAATACTTAAAACAATATTATGAACACATTTTTTAATTATATAAGATAATTAAACATGAAATTGTTTATTCCTAGACTTATGTCTAATTATTAAAAAGCATTGAAAAGGAATAAATAATTTATATGATAGAATTTTAGTTTTAATATGAGAGTTAGTATTTAATTACTGAAGTTTGAAAAGTCAATCTTGTTTTTATTTACATTTATTCTATATGTATCATCTCTAAATGAAACATTATTACCTGCAGTTGTTTGTAATTTAATTATAGCATTAATTTTGTCTTTTAAAATCTCATTATATTAATTTTGGTTTAAATTAAATAATATTAGCAGAAAAAATAATGTGACTATCAGTTACTTTGGTATGAAAGTTGTTACAAAGGAAACATGCCTACCATGGTTGTCTCAGCAATAGACCCAAAGCTGTTTATGAATATGTTGCATGTGACGTTAACTGCAGGGCCTGAAAAAGAGATTACAACATAAGGGCTATTTAGATACTTACCTAAAATATTTTCAAATAATTTCATGCTCCTCATTTTTTATAAAGAACATTTTTTTAATATATGTATAACAAAGATTCTTAAAACTTATAACTGTGAAAAAATCTGGATTGCATATCAAAATTCATGGTCTCCTTTGAACATAGATGTTGGTCAGTCATTAACCTCATTTGGTCTGTTTCCATGATGAATATATTTCTAATGGCTGGGTAAAATGAGTAAGTAGATTTAGTAAGTCCAGCATTTGAGCCTCTTTAGGGAGTTTCTATTGATGTTTTCCACAACATATGGGCTATATTATTGTCTTTGCATGTCACATACCTTTTTTGTTTTTAATTGAATACTTTAGAAAATATGTGTGGGATACCAAAATGACAGCAGACTAAATGGAAGCTACATAGACCATCTGCCAGGACAAAATTGGAATTACAACGAAAATAAAGAAAAATTGTCAGGAAAAAGCAATAGAAAAGCAGCTGGAGAGGACCCCTATGACCAAGGACAGAAAAAAAGGACACTGAATCAAGCCTGGTAGGTCTGTGGAGGCAAAAGAGGGCTGGCTGAGAGCCCAAGGATAGCAGCTGTTTTAGCTGAGAACAGCTCCCTTGGGGTTAAAATCCCAAGCCAGCTCCACAATGCAGAGGGCCAGGAAAGAGCACTAAATTAGCTACAGACACTCACCTGGGGATCTGGGAGAGGGAGGGTAGACTGGACTGGAATTGTGTGGAGAGACTTGGGATTTGGAGGGCACTGAGAGTTTTTGCTGAATCACACCCTCACAGGACAGTAGCCATATTACTCAAAGAGCCCCTTCCCAGAGCCATGGAAAGAAGCACCAGCCCCTCCATCAGGAATTTAACACCACCCAGCTGGACCAGAGAAATGCAAATTGAGGCTTATTAACAGCCAGCATCAGCCCCACCCTTTGGAAGTCCTCTTACCCTGAACACCTGAGGGAGTACTTGATTCAGTTGAGGGCTACAACCAAAGGCTCATCAAGTATCTGAGACTAATAGCCTCCTGGCAAAAAGCTAGAGGATAACTGAACCTTTCCTGGGCTTAAAAATCTACCCAGGAAAGTAAGAATTGACAGTGGTGTTTAATATGGATTCTCCTACACTCATCCAAACCCAGTAGAGCAATAATTCTCAACCTGAGGGTCACAACTACTTTGGGGGTCCAATGACCCTTTCAGAGGGGTCGCCTGAGACCATTAGAAAATACATAGTTCTGACGATCGTAGAAACTGAGACACCTCTCCTCTATCTGTCTCCAGGCGGGTCCACCTATATGCAGATATGCCCACATACAACATGAAAAACTGTATTAAGGGGTCATGGCATTAGGAAGGTTGAGAATCACTGCAGTAGAGGGAACCACAAACAGCAGAACATCAACAACCACAGACAAAATTTGGCAGGCTTCAAAACCCACTGAGATAGACAAAATGGTGAAACAAAGAAACAAATCCCAAATGAAAGAACAAGAGAAAACTATTGAAGATGAGATAAATGAAAGGTAATAAAGCAAGTTATAAGAGTTAGAGTTCAGAGCGATGATATCGAAAAAGCTCAACAGCATGAGTAAGGAGCTCAAAACCATGAGTAAAGATATGGAAACATTGAAAACCAACCAAGTGGAAATGAAGAATGACATAGCAGAAGTAAAGAACACATTGGAAGGAAAAACCAGCAGAGTAGAGGAAGCTGAGCACCAGATCAGTGAATTAGAAGACAGGGTAAAAAACAAACAAACAAACAAAAAAACCACCCAATCAGAATACCAAAAGGAAAAAAACAATTAAAAAACAGGAAGACAGTTTAAGAGAACTGTAGGACAATTAGAAACGTAACAATATTAGCATCATAGGAGTTCCAGAAAAAGAAAATGAGCAATGCTTAGAGAATATATTTTAAGAATTAGTGACAGAAAACTTCCCTAATTTGGTGAAGGAAGAAAGCATTCAAGTTCAAAAAGCACACAGAGCCCCAACTAAGAAGAATCCAAACAGGCCCACACCAAGACACATTATAATTATAATGCCAAAAATTAAAGACCAAGAATCCTAAAGGCAGTAAGAGATAAGCAACAGGTTAACTACAAAGGAAACCCCATAAGGCTCTCAGCTGACTTCTCACAAGAAACACTACAGGCCAGAAGGGAATGGCATGAAGTAATCAAGGTCATAAAAAACAAGGCTCTGAATCCAAGACTACTCTATTCAGCAAGGCTATCATTCAAAATAGAAGGTGAAATAAAGAGCTTCTAGACAAAAAAAAAAAAAGGCTAAAGGAATGTATTTGCACCAAACCAGCACTGCAAGAAAAAAGTGAAAGCACATATATGTTCAAAAATTAGAAGAATTAACCTCATTAAAATTTTCATACTACCCAAAGCAATCTATAGACTCAATGCAATCCCCATCAAAATACCAACAACATATTTCACAGAAATAAAACAAATACTTCGAAAGTTCGTATGGAACTAAAAAAGACCCTGAATAGCCACAGCAATCTTGAAAAAGTAGGACACAGTAGGAGGGATCACAATACTGGATATCAGGTTATACTAAAAAGCCATTGTAATCAAAACAGCCTGGTACTGGCTCAAAAACAGGCATATAGATCAATGGAACAGAAGAAAGAACCCAGAAATGGACCCAAGACATTATACTCAATTTATATTTGACAAAGGTGGCAAGAGTATGCAGTGGAGTAAAGACAGTCTCTTTAATAAATGGTGTTGGGAAAACTGGACAGCTACATGCCAAAAAATGATACTAGACCACCAACTTACACCTTACACAAGAATAAACTCAAAATGGATAAAAAACTTAAACGTAAATTATGAATCCATGAAAATCCTAGAAGAAAATGTAGGCAACAAAATTTCAGACATCATACGCAGCAGAATTTTCACTGATACAACATCTAAGGCAAGAGAAAGAAGGGAAAAAATGAACACATGGGACTACATCAAACTCAAAAGCTTCTGCACAGCAAAAGAAACAACCATCAGAACGAAAAGGGAACCCACTATTTGGGAGAGCATAATTGCCAATGATATGTCAGATAAGGGGTTAATTTCCAAAATATATAAAGTGCTCATACAATTCAACTAAAGAAAGACAAAGAACCCAATTAAAAAATGGGCAGAAGACCTAAATAAACACCTCTCCAAAAAGGACATACAAATGGCCAAGAGATATAAAGAAATGCTCAATGTCACTAATCATCAGAGAAATGCAAATTAAAACAACTACGAGGTATTACCTCACACCTGTCAGAATGGCCACCATCAACAAATCATCAAACAATAAGTGTTGGAGAGGGTGTGGAGAAAAGGGGACTCTAGTACACTGTTGGTGGAAATGCAGACTGGTGCAGCCATTATGGAAAACAATATCGTGTTTCCTTAAAACATTAAAAATTGATCTGCCATTTGACTCAGTGATCTCACTTCTAAAAATATATCCTAAGAAGCCTGAAACACCAATCAGAAAGTATATATGTACCCCAGTGTTCATAGCAGTACTCTTTACAGTTGCTAAGATCTGGAAACAGCCCAAGTGTCCATCAACAGATGAGTAGATAAAAATGCTGTGGTACATATATACAATGGAATACTATGCAGTTGTAAGAAAGAAAGATCTCTTATCTTTTGAGAGGACCCAGAGAGTATTATCCTAAGCGAAATAAACCAATCAGAGAAAGACAAATACCACATGATTTCACTTATTTGTGGAATATAATGAACAAAATAAGCTGATGAACAATATAGACCCAGAGACATAGAAAGGAGTATTATTTAGACTGACAAACCTCAGAGGAGGGGGGCAGGGAGATAGATGAGATAAACCAAAACACTTCTATGCATGTATGTATAACCAATGGACATAGACAACAGTGCTCCAGGGGATGGGAGAGGTGGGTGTGTAGGGGAGAAAATAATAAAAATAAATTAATAAACATTAGAGAAAAAAGTGCTGCTACAAACATGGGGGTACATATATTCTTTCTGATTGGTGTTACAGCCCAAGTGTCCATCAGTAGACGAATGGATAAAAAAGCTGTGGTACATAAACACAATGGAGTACTACACAGCTGTAAGAAAGAAAGATCTCTTATCCTTTGAGACTACATGGAGGGACCTGGAAAGTATCATCCTAAATGAAACAAGCCAAACAGAGAAAGACAAGTATCATATGATCTCACTTATTTGTGGAATATAATAAACATAACAGTCTGAGAAATGGGGTAGTTCCAGAGACGTGGAAGTGGGGTACAGACTGACAATCCCCAGAAGAGGGGGTGGTGGGGGAGAGATGAACTACAGAACTTATATGCATGTGTGCATGAACAATGGACATGGACAACAAAGCTGGGGACAGGGCAGGGAGGGAGGGGAAGGGGGAATCAGTGGGGGGAAAAGGAGAAACATCTGTAACAAAAATTAATTAATAAAAAAATAAAATAAAAAGTTAGAAAAAAAAGAAAAGCTGGAAAACAGACCTCCTACTTCCAACTCGCAGTGTTTTGTCATTGGGGGTGTTTTATTGTTGTTTCTTATTTAATGACACCTGAACTAATACCATAAAATCTGTTTAGAGTGTGCAGCCACTGAGGTCTCTGCTCTGTGAATTTACTGGTCAACCAGTGGTTCATCAGAGATTTCCTTAATGGCTTGAAACAATAAGTCTTCCACCCTTTGCCAAGGGACTCTGTGTTTGGGGACATGTCTTTGATGTTCACACTTTACCTTTCACTTCCTGCTTGCACAGAGTCTCAGGTCAGCTAGAGATTAGGGCCTTCCTAAGACTTTTCTGGAAACATATTCAGCCTTACTTGTGTGTGTAGCCTCTAGATCCCCAAGAATATATCAGAACTTTCCAAGGCTGCCTACAGGCATCTCCTTCCCCAGTTTTAAAATTTTGTTTGGGTTCTTGTTTGCCCAACTGGTA